CTATCTATTTTCTTATTGGATATGCTATTTGTGATTAACTTTTTATGCCAATTATGAAAATATAATTAGCAATGCAAGACCCAGAACAACGAAGAGCACATGGGAGCCATCCACTTTATCAGGTGAAAGGCATGAGGTACGATGGTCTATTTGTTTTAGTTAATGGTTTACATTAGTTAGGTATTTCTCATGTGACTAACTATTATAATTTCTTGTTAATTTTCATTTTAGGAGATAAACATACTTCGTATTGATGAATCAACTCAAGCCTTAACAAAATGGAAGCTCGATCAATGACAGGTACCTCTAATTCATTAGACTGTGTTGAGCCCATTAATGGATATTGGGGTCTCACATATTGATTGCAACCTAGTGAGGGCATTTATAGGGAAATGGTGCAAGGACACGAATACTGTACATTTAAGCATCGGTGAAATGGGTCCAACCTAATATGATGTATGGTAGATATTATTGATACATGTGATGGGTGAGCCTGTAACCGTCATCAGGCCTGAAAACTATATTTCTTTTGTCAAGGAGTATCTAAGAGATTGCCCTAAAGATGTCACCCCGGTGTGTCTAAATCATACATGATTGAGGAGTAGATTTAGTCAACTATCAAAAAAACGCACCAAATTATAACTCACGCAACGCACATGAGCATATCTCATTTATTTAGTTGGAACAACTATATTTGCCGACTCATCTAAAGGATCGACACTTTCAATATATCTGTAATTGTTTCGAGATTTTGATAAGGCATGGAAGTATGCATGGGGTGCTGCGACTCTTGCTTTCTTATATTGTTCATTGTCCAAGGTCGCAGGTGGGGAAAATAATCATTTTAGTGGGTAAGCGACCTTACTACAGGTATTTCTCACTATTTCTATTATATATATTTACAATCTTACAAATTCTGTGGCTACCAACTTTTTTTCTTTTCTTACAGTGTTGAATCTATGATCATGTTCGAGCTCTAGCTACCAAGCCTGCATTGGTCATCAACCTAGAGATGCTTAAGGCTTGCATGTGGAAGAAACAAGCATGTCACAAAAACATCTCATTTGATAATATCTCCTTCAATATGGTTAGTGATAGGCTTGTGTGCATATAATGTAGTAGATAATATCTCGTTCAATATAGATAATTTATTAAGAATATCTTTCCTTGTTGTTAATATCTCATGCTGTTTTGTAGGTGACCTGGCAACCGTATGAAGAGTCGCAGGAAATTGCAGAGTACGTCATGTGTCAATCATATCTCATTAGTTTCGACATTGCAGAGTATTACATGCCTAATCGCGTATTGCGACAATTTGAGAAGATGCAAGGTGTTCCTGTTACGCCACCCAAGTGGGATAGGAGGGAGAAGGTCGGTGTATACCCCATAAATTGGACTGTAGAATTGGGTAAGCAGATAAAAGATTGGAAACAACGATAACGTAACGTTGTTAAGGCAGCCTTAGATAAATCTGGTGGAGTACCTACAGAAGAGTACATGGCCTGGTACAATATGTTTATGCAAGGAAAAACACCATTTTGCCCCCCATAGCAGTCGCAATCCCATGTACAGCCTTCCGCAAGCCAATCGCATGTACAGCCATCCGTAGGCCAATCCCAAGATAATAGATTGGTATAATATTTATTATATGTATTTTTTTATTTTATCGTTTTAATATATCTTAAAATTATGAAATATATATCTAATGATCAATTTTGTTTGTTTTAACTATCTACTTGTAGTGACATATCTGTATAGAGTTGCTACAAGCTGCACTTAATAATGATGTATTAACCGGGGAATCCAGAGGTTATGTACAGGCGGCTCATGATCTGCTACTGAATAACACTTCTGTGGAGAGAGGTGTCGAGGATGATGACGGAAAAGATGATGATGATAGAGAAGAGGATGATGAAGAAGAAGATGACGATGAAGGAGGAGATGATGGAGAAGAGGATGATGATGAGGAGGAGATGATAGAGAACAAGTTGATGATGCTGGAGGAGATGATGGTGATAGTGAGCATGACGATGATAGAAGAACAAAGCAAAAAGCTTATCACTTTCAAGCGTCAGTGTTGCAAGAGGAATCGAGGTGGAATTTACGATAGAGAAATTGACTTTTTTTTTTTTTTTTGTCTTGGATATGTATATTTGAAACAAATATTAAGTAAAAAAATATGGTTGATATTGATCATCATTCATATGTATGTTTTGGATTTGATCGGTATGCTTGAAACAGATGTTAGGTAAATGATATGGTTGGTTATATTTTGATATTGAGCTTGATATGTATTTTTTTATTTTATATGAATGTTTGAAACAAATGTTCAATGAAGGGTATGTTACATAAATGAGAGATCTCTTGAATGAATGATTGAAGTTGCACTTTGACGAGGGGCATGCATCTCTTGGTTGGCATAACCAGCGAATATAGCGATGTAATCTTGAAAGGAAATGCAAAATACCAAAAAGTAGTTTGGCAAATACAATTACCATTCCAATAGGAAAATATCATAAGCCCATATTAATAAAGGTCAACCATGTGGTATTACATGATTTTTTCATGACTCATGACCCATTATTACAATGGATATCACTGAGAAGACTAGGGCACCATTACTAAACGCTCTGGTAGTGCAACTACACGCTTCGGCAGTGCAACTATACGCTCCATCAGTTAGCTTCTGCACTGAAGTCTCTAAAGCTGAAGCGATCCGGCAATGGAGGATTGCGCTCCGGCAGTAAAGACACTCGCTCCGACAGTACCAATGTACGCTCCGACAATGCTTTGACTGATCCACAGCACTCCGGCATTATGATAGCACACTCCAGCAGTGAAAGTATACACACCGGCAATGAAGCCTCTGGAGCCACAATGCTCCGGCAATGGAGAACAACGCTCCGGCATTAAAGACATGCGCTCCAACAGTGTTGTCTTCCTCACACGCTCCGACATATCGATACCTCACTCCGGCAGTGCTACTACACGCTCCAGCAATCCGCTCCGACAATGAAGCCTCTGGAACCACAACGATCCGAAAATGGAGGATTGCGCTCCGACAGTCCGAATCCATGCTTCGGCAGTCACAATGTGAGGCTCCGACAGTGCTTTGTGTGACCCGCATGGCTCCGGCATACTGAGAACTGCGCTCTGCTACTACATGCTCCGACAATGAAGCCTTTGGAGCCACAGCGCTCTGGCGATAAAGGAGTGGCTCCGGCATTCTAAATGAGCGGTACAACAGTACCAGTGTGTGCTCTGGTAATCGTTTGTCTGACCCACAACGCTCCGACAATCTGAGAAACGCACTCCGGCAATGAAAATCCGTGCTCCAACAATTCGCTTCGGCAATGAAGTCTCTAGAGCCACAACTCTCCGACAATGAAGTCTCTAGAGCCACAATGCTCTGCCAATGAAGTCTCTAGAGCCACAACGCTCTAGTAATGTAACACCTTGCTCCAGTAGTACTTCTTGACATTCCACTCCGACAGTAATATACTTCACTCCGGCACTATACTTGAGATCGCGAATTGATTTGGTTTGTACAGGAAAGGTATTTCCTTCCAAAAATTAAGAACTTTTTACCTTTGGGGGCTTTTACGAGCAAAGGTCGTTTGGGGAAAAAAAGTGTGAGAAAAAATTGGATGGAGATAAGTTCTATAAATAGTTCATTTTAAGGTGTATTTTGTAATTTTCTCTATAAATTAATATTTGTTACAAATTTTCATTTCAAGACCCAAACCTGGTCGGATTGAGTCTGGTTAGACGTCGTCGGGTTGGGTCTGAGTTAACAACCCCACTGTAGGAGGAGGGGGGCCGAGAGAGATAGAGAGAGAGTGTGTGTTTTAGGTAAGCAGGGCTTCAGCTTCGTGAAGGAAAATTGATGGGGAAAAAGACTTTAGTGAAGACATGAAAATACATTTATCTGATTTCCCATTTTGGCCTCAAAATAGAGAAAACGATTTTTTGTCTAAAAAAAACACAAATTCCATCCTAGATCACCGTCATAATAGCCTAGATCTTGGACCCAAATACCAAAAACAAACAATTTCACTACAATACCATTTCCTACAAATTTTTTTCCCAAAGAACCAAAGGTGTATGTTAGATGTCATATTTATTTCCATTGAGTTTTTGGATATTTCAAGTACGTTGTACCCTATTCTTCCAAAAAAGCTACATCTCATCAAGAAGCTATTGTTTGGCGTTCTCGTCCACCAGATTTTATCTGGTTTACTTTAACTCATGATCTACCACAGGTTCCCTACTTTAGGGTTGTAAAGTAAAGAGTTGTAAGCTTTCTATTTTTAGTTATTAATGGAAAACCGGTAAAAAGCTTTCTCCCCTACTAACTTACCCAAAAAAAAAAAAGTACATTGTACCTAATAAAATTATGGGATATGCCCCTAATTGTATTAGTGAGAGGCATGCATTAGGGTTCTAAATGGGGGCAAGCTTGGACCAAGCCATCCCTGGCCCTAGTCAATATAGTGCCAGCATAAGGCCCACCAAGCCCAAACATGGATGAAGAGGCCTTGGCCCAAGCTTGGCCCTAAACATTTAGGGAGAGGCTGAGGCAGCCCGGTCCAAATACAATAAAAATAAAAAGAAAGAAAAAAAAAAAAAAGGCAAGCCATGCCAGCCCTGTTGTGGACCTAGCCCACACCCAACCTAGCCCTCTCCTCAAGCCATAATGGCCCAACAGTCATGCGACATTTTGCAGCCCAAGCCTTATTTTTTTTTGGGCCGAGCCTACGGGCCAGGCCAACCAACCCTCTATCAGCCCTAGCTTGTATATTATTATCTTCTTTCTCCGATGAGAGATGAGTTGAGACACTTGCCTCAATGTACACACACGCTCTCTCTCTCAATGTGGGCTTAAAATGATCAATATTTCTACAATTTTTTCTCATTGTGATCTCTCTTGTGAGACGAGATACTTGTCTCAAGTTCTCTCTTTATGTAGGGCTTCAAACGATCAAGATCTCCCTCAAGGATTCATAGAAAGACAGAGAGGATCCCCCCTCACATATTCATTAGAAAGAGAGGGGGTCCCATAAAACTCCGAGCCTAAGGTAATAAGCAATAATATACAACAAAGGTTTGCCACATCTCATCATGAATCCTAAACAGCGGAACCCAATTAATTGGGATAAAACTTAGATGATGATGATGATGATTCAACAAAAAAATTCTCAAATGAGGAAAAGAGTAGGGGATGGGGAACTCTCATAAGACTCCTTTCAAATGCATTTCAAATGCATCTGGGCTCTGCATCTCAATTACCAATTCACATTTGAGAGATCCCAACTGTCGATCCATAAACCACCGGCCTTTTTATAGCATATGTTGCATGGCATGGTTCCTTTCAATCATGGGAGAAATCATCAAATCTCGCACAAAATTCATCATCACCTAAGAAATCTAGGTCCTTAGGAGGCCCTCTCCTGAGCTTTTCTTGGAGTTCCAAACTCTTTGGAAGAACGAGCTCAACTTCACATCCTGAAGATGCAAAATATCTATGCAACACCATCTACTTCCACAAGACCCACATTCATATAATTAACATTAGTTATCAAATACAGATCTAAATTATCATCCAATCTCTTTAACAAATGTAGGAAGAATACAGTACATACCATTGCAGCATAGGCATCCACTCGATCCTTTCTATTGGACTTGTTTACCCCCCTGAAAACAAGGACTAAATAGTCAACATCATGATAACAACGATGATGATGAATGTGTGGCAGCCAAGCAATACAGATTACCAGACATTGATTACCAAACTATGAATTTCAGGCGAAACACAACAATAGAGAGAGAGAGAGATTCTACCCATTTGAGTGATGTATGTTAACAAAAGATGTCAATAGTCAGTATAAAGTAATTTAGTAACAAGCTAAGAGCCAATGTACTTATCATTTCTGGAACATGGGACGAACTTAAGACAACACAGACGGTAAGGACTGGCCAAAGTAAATTGCAAGAGATAGGAAAGAAGTTTCCAGAGAATGAAATCTGTGGAGAAATGCAAATTCATCCATGACTTGCTTAATTTAGAAATATGCTAATGTCTTTCGCATCCTCATCAGCAAAGCCTTATCCCAATTATTAAATAATTCCAATAAATATCCTATAAATGCTCTTATCAGAGCTTTTTTCTCAACTATTTGGGATCGGCTAAGGACTCATAGAAAGTTTTGGCAAAATTTTACGTTGGCTGCTACCTAACACAACCCACCTCTTTTTTCAGAGCTTGGGACGGGTTAAGGGAAAGTTTAAGGACCTCACCCTTCTTAGACCAATATATATTCTATAAATCTAAACCGTTAAGCTTTTTTAAACAAGGGAGAACAACATAATCTAATTACAAACAGTTATTACATATCAATCATCAAATCCAGAGCCTCCTGTGATGTCCCATGTTCATCTTGCAAATATACTCTCCAACCCCTGTGAACAAAGAGATAAAGTTATAACACATTTTCTGAACTAGTAGAGAGGCTACTAGCCGATAAAAGCACCAAAGGTGAATTTAACAAACATGGATACACAAACTCATAGATAAAAAACATGCAAGCATCTTCTGTTCTCATAAAATTCGTTCCCCTGATTGCATAACAAATAGAAATTGCACCTTCCAAAATAAAGATTCAAAGTTTTAAAACAAGGATAGGTTGCTTCCCACATTTGTTTATGACCTCATACACTACCAAACTTCACAAGCATTTAAAATTGTATGCCAAAAACCAGGATCAGGAGTAGAGCCAGAATTCAAATAGACTAATGTGTAGAGCTAAAACTCTTCTTTTCCATAAATTTGGGTAAAATAATAGCCAACAGCTTTTCAGGCCCTCTACGTAGAGGTTTGTAATATGGTCTTCCACATGTAGATGGCGACATCATCCATAGTGATCTGAAAGTGACATTTCTTAATAAAATCCTCATGTTGTTACGAACCCAGGACAATTCACCGTTTAAGTAAAAAGATCGTCACTGATTTAAAATAAGAATCTCAAGGAAGTATTTAATCCAAGTTATATAACGCAGTAGTAACCAACTTAGATTTTTTTTAAAAAAAAAACCATGGTTTCTCCTACAAAAGCTTGGAACGTAAACCACACAAAGAAACAATATAAACCAACATATCAAAAATCGGGAGAGTGAGGCCAAAGTGGCGCGCTAAAAATTGATTCAAAATGAGTAATTATCCTCTCTTGGCATGGAACAAGCATGAATGCTTCGCGGCATTATTCATATTACTTATGAAAGTTAAATAACAACCATTTGAGAGAACAAAAATTACTTCTTACGAATGAGGAAAGAAGATCACCTCTCTGCAGCCTGAATAGCAAGCCTTCCAACAATGCTACGAATTTTATTTGATTCTGATGTCTCCTTTCCATTTCCTGATATTGGAATCCCAATTATAAGCTCATCTGCCTCCTGAAATTTCTTCAAGCAGGAGGCAATAAAGGATCCATTGATCTCAGCACATTGCCAATACCACAAAACACTAAAACAACTTGCATGATCTTTTTGGCAAAGGACACATAAAGGTTGCCGACATTGTTAGACGAATGAAAGCGAGTCGTAATTCAAAGGCTACCCAAATGCGTGTGTGCCAGGGTAAGCTTGACTTATCCTTTACTTTGATAACTAGAGTAGAGTCAAGTTTTTCACATATGTTTACCACTATTCAATAATCCCTTGTCTATTTTGCATGTCATTTTTGTCTGTTACCAACAAATTAACTAAAAATCATATTACAAACTAAGCAATGAAAAAACGGAAACCGGTCTATTACAACATGAAGTAACCCACTGGGTAATGGTAAAGATAATCCATTGGGAGTCACTGTCCAGTGAAAGGATGGACAGTGAAACTATTACTTTAGTGGAATCAAGTGTTGACTTAAAATACCTCTATAATGTGTCACGACATAGAAATCATTTATAGATTAACCATTTATAGATTAACTTTATCGTGTTTGCAAACTTGTGTTGGCTCCCTCTTTCATGAAATACCACAGTTTCTTTCTATTGTGTGACATTAATTTTCATTGTCCACCATAAATAAACAACTGGAAATCGCAATCACAGTTATTCCAAAATATAAGAACCTCTTGTGCTGCAATCTCAAGAAGACGAGACTCCAGCTTGTGCCCGCGAAGCTCCAAAACCTGAAAAGTTCTAGCAAAGTCTAAAAGTCAGTCTCTAATGAAAAAAGATGAAGACTCGATACTACAAATTAAAGAAAGCAGCTTCCTAAACCAAGGAAAAGAACAAGCCCCTCCAAAAAGAATACACTGCAAGAACAAGTGAGGGTTATGGAATAGAAAAAACTACGATTGCACTTGAAAGACGAATGACTTTCCAAGTAGAAACATTAATACAGAGGGCCTAATAATGAGAATGAAGCATATCTATTTAGGAAAATATACTATGATCCAGTAAATTATGGAAAACCAGTCTAATGAGTTATCACGCCCCTGTAGTGATTCAAAAAGCGGACCGCCCAGCGCTTAGGGGTCCAGAAGGCCTGGGCGCATCACCCAGGCCTAGGCAGCCAATCTGAGCGGTCGATCCCCCGCCTAGGCAATATGGAACCCCTAGGCAGGCGCCCAGGGCCTGCGCCCCACCCATGGGCGGAAAAACCATTCGGTGAGGGTATTTTTTGTCTTTTTGTTTTGTTTTTAACGGCAAAAAATTAGGGTTTTACATTCATTTGAAACCTAAAACTTGTTGAAGCCAAATTTAGAGAGAGAAAACCCCCAAAAAAACTAGATTGTGGTGAATTTTTTAGAATCGAAGGGTCACTCAAAGTTAACAAAAATTGATCAAAACATCACCCATTGGTATTATATTTACTTTTTGATGTTTTGCAAAGTTATTAGGGTTTTTTTAGAAGATTTTGAGTATTTAGAAGTATCTTTGAGGTGAAAATTTGAAGATTGAGCAATCAAATTCAAAATAAGTGATTTTTTTTTATTGCTTTAGTAATTTGATATGGAATATGAACCGACTTATGGATTATGGCTATGCTTATGGAGTGTGTGCTAAATGCTAAATAATATGTAGTATAATTTGAATTATGTACTGCAATACATATAACTGATACTGACATAACTGCAGAATGCCAGAATCCTTATTTGGATTCAACTGGGCCGCCCAGGTTCTGGGTGACCTGGACCCCCAGGCCGCCCAAGACCTGCCAAGCTCTTTTTGAAACTATGCGCCCCACTATAATGATGGACAGCAACGGTGAGGAAATGAATCCCAACGATAGGTTCTACTCTCTCTGCTTCATCCACAATTTGAATAGACCGTGATGACCCAGACAAGTAGAGTTTTTCCACAGGCTATTGGACAATAGCATATCTACGTTTAATAAAGTCCACACCAGTCATGCTGGACTCATCCTAAAAGGCATGTGGAATACTAGAATGGTGTAACAATGTCTTCGAGAGCTCATTTTATTAGGAAAAATTATTCTTTTTTTTTTCTTTTGCATTATATAGCTAAGATAATGGAGAACAAAGTTCCATCGAAATTAAAGACAGTGGTGCAAATATCCCAACTTTTCCTTAACTCATGAATCCTACATTTCATTGCACATACAAATAATACATTGTCATTCCCCATAAGCTAATAGTGCCTCTGCATACATTCCTTGTCCTGAAATAATATCATTGGACATATCAAAATGAATGTTATATTGCTATTCTTTTCGTGGAATCTGTTGTGATTTCTCATCCTGCATTATTGTGTTAGACCAATTATTAACATGAGTTGTCCTTGGGCCAAATCTCTTTATGCAATTCTCTTCCCTTGTGAAGCTTACAGTATGCAATGGTTCATCAGAATATGAGATGATTGATGACAAGCTTGGGATTCTGCATTTATTTTTTTGGGTAGTGTTAGCATGAGGCGCTCTAACGCAACACCATAAAGCCCTCCTTATACCATCTTTATGATGAATTAAGAGCCCCAAAACTTATTCTAAACCTGGTAAATTCATTCCCACCCTAGAAAAATGGATTTGGAGCATCCTTTAAAAAAAAAGAATTTGGAGCTCCTAAAATGGTGCAAATCTGACTGATCTAGGGGCTTTTGACATGGACGGTCTAAATCACATGTTGAGATGGCAATCAAGACGAGCATTTTTTGGCTTCCAAATCCATTTTATTTAAGGATTTGGGTCAACAGGAATGGATTTGCAGATTTTGAAGTCCTCAATGATCCAAAGTATAGAGATATGAGGGGGTGCCATACTATCTGGGTGAGGCAGAGGCCTCACCAGTTACTTTTCCAACTTTTATGCCTCTCATATCCTTGAAGACATACTGCCTAGTACATTCTTGAACTACTTTTTCAACTTTTACTGAGTTCATATGTCTTCAAGTTTCGATAACATGGATATTCACAACACCTTGACCAATACAAATTGGATTGCTTTCGACCTGAATTTCATCAGGAGTTAGGCATCATGGATGGTTTTCTTAAACTTCCACATATACCCAGAGAACAAAAAAGTGTTGACTTATTCATTGCGGCTATGAACAAAAAAGTCTTCTAATTTTTCGATACTCTTTTTTTTTTTTTTAATCTGTTTACTTTTATTTTGCGAAGGATCTTTCTGGTACTCTTTTGCTATTATATTAGTTGTCCTGGAACACATGCTTGATCTGATATCTGTTGTGCATGTTCCCATATATGTTCCCATATATGTTTTGGACGGTTCCTTAGTTGAGTATTTTTATAGTTAAAAATTGCACTTGAGTATTATTCATCAGAGAGAGGATATGATGTTATTCCATTATCTAAATTTGAAATTAAGAGTTTCCATGTACAAAGGATGACCGGGGAAGATGCATTCACATAGTTGGGGGTACAAAGTCTTCTCATGTGGACCATATTTAACTGTTAATTATGAAATTCTGTCTAGAATAGTTCTCTATACATGAGGAGTCCTGTTCTACATTTAAGAGCACTTACAGTATGGCTATGAGGATGACCTTGGTTTCATTTGTGGTTATTATTCTTTTGATCTGTCACAATAATATGATTTTTATGTTACATATGTTCCTAAAATCTATAAGAATAAGGAAAGAAACTTGTTATTTTGACCACTGGATGCATTTTTCGGACGTGTAATTAATTCAGGGGTGTCTTGCCTGGTCAAAATCGGAAAATTTCAAAGCTGGTCTCTTACCCCTTTAGACATATAGGTGTTCAAAGTTGTAACAATCAAACAAATAAATAACAACTATTTTATCAGTGTTGTTCTTGTGCAGTTTGTCAAGAGCATTCATGGTAGGACGGTTAGCATAATGTACCAACAGTAATCCTTCATATTTGAAATGTATGATCAAAATCAAACTTATGGAAAAATGAAAGTTCACATATGGTTCAACAAATTCAAGGTAATCTCAAAATGCACTCTTGCCAAAATTTAAATGTGGATGTAGCCAAAAGAAAATTGCTAATCTGGAACCTTTTTTCTGATGGAATAAATGTGGAATTTTTTAACATAAGTTGTATTAGGCACACACTTCAGAAGAAATTTCCTTAAATTCTTCCAGCTTTAGAGCATAAGAAACCTAATATTGAATGGGAAATTCATCAATAGAGGATAACAACGTACCTAGGTGAAAAGGTCCCCATTAACATGAAAGCAATGAGATACTTTGCAAAAAGATGAGGTAAATGCTCGAGCTGCAAATTTTCATCTTTAGAAAAGTAAGCTTTATACACTATATCTATAGTGTGCAATTAATTGATCATCTCCACCACTTGAAAGTAAGAGGGAGATGACACGATACTGCAAACATAGTGTATAGCATATGATCTAATATTACGCAGTGTCTATTTCCCTTTGTATCTTCCTAGTAGCATACTACAATGGAGGGTACACCTCTTATCCATTTTCAATTGGATTCACTTCATCATAGTTTTTGCAAAAAAAATAACATGAAGATGACCAACCAAATTCAGGAATGATTAGACATAGGTAAAGGCATATATTTAGCAACCAATGAAATAAGTGTGTGCTGGATCAACAGGAACATTAGTTTGGTATTAAATAGTATCCCAATTCTAGGCATACAACAATCCTGCACAAGCTCTTCCTATTTCTTCGTACTAATAAACACACCTTAGTTGCTTTGGAGATCATATACTCTGAATTTTGGTTCACTGCATCTCTGGTTTCTGAACTGGTTCCTTTGTTACTTACAGGTTTGCAGCCATTGATGAATGTTTACAACAAAATTTAATTTTTTAACATAGTTCTCAACCTTTTCTTGCATTTTGGATGTTTTGCAAGCCTATTCACATCCAATGCAATCTATGCTAAACCCCAATTCAAGAAAAAACGAGGGTAAGAAACCAAAATTTCAAATTAGACAGGAAAAATAAACAGCTTGTCAGTCCAAAATCAAAATGGATGCAAGGAAGAATCAGATGCAATAACACAAATAAGCCAAAAAATTCCAAATGTCAAGCAATACAGCAATTTCAAACACAAGAAAGAACCCCCAATTCAATTCAAAGCTCAATGTTCTTTTTAACAAACAGTGAATAGAACCACTCATTGATTTAAACGAAAGGTAAGGTAATTCACCCACTCAGAAACCCCCACAATCAAAATGAAGCAAGAAGTGATTATAAATAACTCCCAATTAAGAGGAAAGAGAGAGAGATTCTTACAGTGAGAGGGCGAGGAACAAAGCCTTTGCTCACTGCCACGCCAGTTCTTGAGCCGCCAATGTCAACACCCAAGCTGAACCCACCTCTAAAATTAGGGTTTCTCCTCTTCTTAGTGGCATTTGGGAGCAACTCCTCATCTACAATTTTTACTCCAAATCTATCAGCCCCGACCTTTGCTTCATTAACTGGTAAATCACCATTAGAGACCCTAAAAAGTGATAGAACTGAAACCCCAAATTTTGGGGCAAAAACATGGATTTCTTTCAGGGTTTTGTGAGGACGAGGGAATGATAAAACAGTAAAGCTTCTACCAATAGGTTGGTGTATCATCACACACTGCATCTTCTTGCCTTTCTTCCTCTCTGTTGAGAGAGAAGGAGTGGGTAATCAGATTTTCAAATCAATCGGTAACAAGAATTTCTAATTATGTGAAGATTATGAAAACTACCGAGAATTGATTTATATTTTATTAGGTGTGCTTTGTATCATAGTTAGCAAATCGCTGTTTAGTTTTAAACAGTGACTTTTTGAAAAGGTCGGGAAAAAGTCGCGTAGTTTTCTTAAAAACGTCCGGCCAAAAAATCGCATCTTTTTTTACCTATAATTTTTTTTTAAAGATTTTTTTTTTCTCCCTGTTTTGTGCACTGCAGCCATTGCTACTTTAATGCTTTTGAAAAAAACAATGATTTCAAAAATAAAACCTAAAATATAAATTTTTATCCCCACTATGTTCTTCAAAGCCACAGTTGCAGATTGAAGGTATAAATTTTTTTTTCCTTTTTTAAAAAAAAACTTAAACAAATAGATGAAGATTTCAGCGTTATTATGGAAAATCATTATGTAAATGAAATACTGTTATAGCAAATCATTTTGTAAAGTAAATCATTGTGTAAAGAAAATCATATACATACAGATTTATGTGATTATTTGTGATAATTGTTTTTATGGAAATGCTGTTTATGGTACAAATTAGAGCTCAAAACATAGTATTTTACTGATGAATGAGAAGTAGAGAGTGTGACTACAGTACAAAGTATTCAATATTTTGTTTTTGATAATGTGATAACAAAGATAAACAATATAGTGTAAAATGTAAATTTACAGGAGCAAGCAATTGTACATATAGGATTACTCCCCAAACCTAATCCTTCAGCTCTGCTTGCTGTTTCCCCAATAAAATGAAAAAACCCTCCTCCTTTTCTCTCTCTAAAAATCAGTTAAGGCCCCTTGACAAATCAGTATAGTTAGGGCTTTCTCTCAAACAACATCCCAAATCAGAGAGAAAATCCCTCTTCAAACCATCCCAAATCAGCATCTTCTTTTTCTCTTTCTAAAAATCAGTTAGGGCCTCTTACATTAGGGTTTGTGAAGCCCATGATCTCTTCCTTCTTCTCTCTCTATAACCTAGCTATGAGCCCAGCCCTATTTTCATCTCTTCCTTCTTCCTGCTTCTCTCGCTAAACCGTAACATTCTTCTTTCTCTCTTTCTTCTTCCTCCTCTCTCGAAACCGTAAACACAGTTGTGAATACCAAATTTTTACGGGCCTCTTTTAAATTCATATTACTTCAACGAAAGTTATGGTGGACCATAGTCGCCATGCTATAGTTAAATCCTTGTAATGAGAAAACAAAAAATTGTGTATTTTTTTTTGTATCGGCAAAGTAAGTGTGATGTTTCAGTATTTAATGAATAAATTTATATAGTATAGTTAAAATATTCAATAAATAAATTTATATAGTATATTTGTTTTTTATATGTAATGGCTAGATTTATATGTTTTTAGTATATACTAGTTAATTATATATTTAATATTGGATGAATGCATTAGAGCCATGAGGCATTTAAATTAATTGACTAAATTATAGTAGTCTAGTAAAGTTTTTATAGATGATTTAGTTATTGATGGCTTTAACATAATTTTTATTTTTTAAAATTTCAAATTTTCTAATATTATAAATTTATTTGATTTTTTTACTCTGATTTTTTTTAGCCTAATATGATATATTAAAGATAGCATTTTTGCCGATCCGTTTTTTTTTACCTGATTTTTTTATTCAACTTTTTAAAATAAAAACGATTTGTTTTCGATTTTATGGTGAGCCGATTTATTGATAGTCCCCAACTTGCTAACTATGGTTTGTATAGAGTCGAGGCTCTAAACAACTAGAGCCCACCTTAATATAGTGTCGAGATATATAGTTTTAATACTGAAAATATTTGTGATAGCCTTAAAATATGTTTCATCTTCAATTATAAAATTTAAAGCTTCAAAAATAGGGTAGATCGAGTAGATCTATAAAAACTTGAAAATCTTTAAAATCGACGGTCCAAAAATGCGTTGCAAGATGCATTATTTCTAAAATTTGAAATTCTTTTTTTTTTTTCTCATGTCCATGTATCTTGATGTAGAGATGATCAATTTGAGAATATTTGGGCATCAAAATGACCTCTTTTAGTGAAATTTTTTATGTGGGCTCTAATTTGATTATTTAGAGCCTCGGCTCTATAAACGTTTTTCTATTTTATTTGATTTTAAACTTTTAAAGGATGAAGTTTGCATAAGCTTTATAAAAAAATAAAGGGAAAGCATTTTCAACAAAGAAAATATCCATGATGGCTCTAAAATCAATTTTCTACATCGACAATAAATTTAAAACTCAAAAAGTGGTACAAATCTTGATAACATGTGAACACTTATTTTTAGGGGGAAATGTACGGTCTACAAAATATTTGTTACAATATATACTATTTATAGATCTTGCAATCCTAATTCTTTTGCACGACCATAATATTATAAGCTGAGATGATCAATGTAAAAGTTTTTCAATAATTGAATTGCAACTTTCGATGAGTTATAAGGTGAGGCTTTATCTATTTTGACAGGGATGCAAATCAATCAAAACATTTTCTTTTTTTAAATACCTGTCAAAAGATGAGTGAATGGAATAGTTGAAAAAGTGTAGATCGTTAAATTTCCAAAAAATAGTGTATTTTACTATAGGAAATGTTTATATAAGTTTGTAATATTATTTGTAAAAATAAATTGCAATCATTCTACATCATCCACTTTATTTTGGCGGTGTAAATTGAACATTATCTTAAAAGACATGCTATGTATTGATATTGTCTTCAAAAAAATATCAAATCTATATCATCCAAATAAAATAAATAGTATAGAGTATCGAAACCTCATGCAACCTTGTATAAACCGCTTCCATTTCTAAAAAAATTAATGACATATACCAACTTTCCATAATATGCCACTTCAAAGTAAATTGTGCAACAAAAAAGATGAAGAAGGGATGAGAACTCAGATAAAAGAATTGAAAAAAAAGAGGTTAATTAGGCCATCTCTATATCAAAAAGAGATTGAGGCGTTAAGGAGGGAGAGGTTGAGGGGTTAGGAAAAGCTCCCCAGGCCTTGAGAGGAGAGAGAGTAAGAGAGAGCGGAGAGAGAAAAAGCAATAAGAGATAATAAAGAGGCAGCGAGAGACGAGGATTGGATAATCTTTAATTAACACGCCTTACTAAATACAATTAGAATAAATTAAAAAAGATAGTCAAAACGGTTTTGTGGCTTCCCAAACGAATTAATAGAGGGAAAGAGAAATAAACTAATAAAAGAGGGAAAGAACTCATTCTTCATTTTCTTCTTTTTTTTTCCCTTCGTTTTTTTTTAGATTTCAAATCATCTCTTCCTCTTCCTCTCCATCTAATGCTTTACTTGGTTGATATTTAAGACTTTTTTTCTTTTTCTCCAATACTGAGAGAGAAGGGGAGGTAAAGAGTGTGTGTTTGATTTACTGAGATTAGTTGCCCAACAAATTAGCAATTTTTATCTTCGGGGTTTTTGTCCCAACTTAATCGAAATCTTTAAAAGAAACGGCCAATTCCACAATTTATTTGCTGTAAATTCAATATAGTGGTCTCCAAAATAACTTCATTTTATAAATCAACCGTGCTTCGAAGAGAGAGGAGAGAGACTAAAGAAGAGAATGGAGAAAAAAGGGCAATATTAGGAGAATTGAGACTGTCAGGAATATCGTGACATAGGACACTAGGAATTTTCGGTTCTTTTGTTTTTTATTTGTGCTAAATCTACACCATCCACATACATACGGAATAACACATTAACAAAAACCTAACCCTAGAATATCGTGACATAGGACACTAGGAATTCTCGGTTCTTTTTTTTTTATTTGTGCTAAATCTACACCATCCACATACATACGGAATAACACTATTAACAAAAACATAACCCTAGAGAAGGGAAGAAGAAGCCTTGATCCCAATAACTTTAAGAAACTTGTCCTAATAAACAAACCTAGTTGCTGACCTGCAGGAAAATACTGAACTCGCCCTTACTCAACATCCAATACGTCCTCTCCCCTCAACAACTTTTTGGATTACAACTTTGACCTCAAAACCAGATTTTATAGCGAAAACCACCAAGTTAAAAAATCATGTGTAAGGATAAAAATGCCCCTTTGAAAACATACATCATGGAGTCACATTCTCAGCAGGCGCTAAATCACCAAAAGACAGTTTGACACGTATTCTTGCCTGACTGAAACCCAAATCATACAATACCGGTCCGTCGCAAAACCAATGTCGGACTAGAAATGACCTAATAGGAAAACTTACTGGATTGGCGCACAAAAGTGTCAAACCTACCGGTGCCGGTTTGGCATCTAGAATTGCCCAACCGGTCACAAGTATTGCCGGACCGCATTACAAATTTTTTATTGATTTTTAGCGATCTGAAGTGGGATCAAGTTTGGGAGGTTTGATGGCGGGATTTGGCGCTGGTTTGGAGAGAGAGAGAGAAAGCTATGTTAGGGTTGGGCCTGGTATGGAGAGAGAGAGAGCTATGTTAGGGTTGGAAAGAAAGAGAAGCTATGTTAGTTAGGGTTGGGAAGAAGAGAGTAGGGTTTCGAGGGCATTAGGGATAAGAGAGAGGGCATGGACCTCTATACAAAACACAGTATTAGAGTTTATTGAGTGATCTAAAAAGCATTTTGGGAGGAAGTTGGTATGTTAAGTTACAATTTGGGGGTATGTAATTTTTCCTTTCAATTCTAGCTTTTTGCTTTTTGGGAAAAGTCCTTGTGATTGATTAGTCACAGCCTATTTTTTAAATCATTAGTGGTTTTTTAATTTGTTAGGTAAAAATAGAAGCATAGACTTTAGTTGGGGTACAACTAGTATTACCACCACGACCCCAACCCCAACCCCATTCTCAGTCCCTTTCAATTCTTTACACTTTGGGCTTGCATGACAGGTTAGGTTGTAAACATTGTTAGCAAAATCAAGTGATCTAACCGCTAATCGCTTGATTAGATCGGAACTATCCAGTGGTCGATTCCGGTTTTAGGCAGTTTTGGTGATCGACTGGTATTTAAAATATATATATATATATATATATATATTCAATATGGGCCGTTGGGCTCATATGTTCATATGAGCTAGTGGGCTAATCTCATATTTTCCCATATATATATATATTTCCAAAAATAAAGAATTTGGTTTGTAATGCATTTTTTAACATTCTTTATATTATGGTAAAGATTAAAAATTGTTTGTGTCATTAATACTCATTTTAATTCAAAAATCGATTCGTTAAAATCTATTTTTCATTAATTTTCAACTTCATTTGAATGTGTTTTGTTTTAATCATTCTTTATATGTTTTTTATATTTTGGTAGATTTTTTTTGTATCTTTTTTACTTGTTCAACACTTTTTTGCTGGGACATGTTCAGTTAGAATAGTTGAATCGGCTGGTTTACCGATTAGGCTGGCTAAACCGCTTTTGGGCCCATGTCTGGTTAAGTACTCCTGTTTGATTTTACGAACACTGGTAGTAAGATTCATTGTATGAAGTTTGACCCCAAAAAAATCAATTTACACCAAAAAAAGGCATTCAAGCAACTTAATCCTTTTTTTATGTACTATAATTTTTTATCTTAGAGAAATTTACTTATCAAAATTGAATAATAGTTGAAATTGGTCTTCGACGTCGTGGGTGGAGGTCTTCCCAAACATGCTCTCCATGTCTTATAACCAAAAACACACACTCAAAAGAAATTAATTTTTCATTTCCTAAACTGCCCTCATCTCAAGAAAAAAGGTCCAAAATACTCTTAATGTTTCTAAAAGCAAAATTATAAAATTTCAATTTAGGTTTGGCACCTATAGTTTCATTGTCAACCCGATTTCAGCGAAATTATGCTGCCAAAAACATTTGAACTAACCAAAAACTTCAGTTAACGGCACATAAGCAAATGTAAAAGTCAACCTTTTAATTATAAAAATCAATAAAAATGAAAACAAAAGTCAAAAATTTTAAAAATTGCAAGAAGGGCATATTCGTAATCCCCAAAATGATATAATGATACAACTAAGACTCCCCTTTGCTACATGCATTGTACATTTAGCAAAAATGGCCGGAAAACTCACTCCAATTGAAACCAATCGCCTGAACGTCACCAGAAAACCACTATCCCCACATTTCCCAAGGTCCCGAAGTGTGACGTCGGCCCCCGCCACGCCAGAAATACTGCCCCACTTGCCGGATTATGCCAAGACTTCCGGGCACCGCTCTTTGTCTACAAGCAAAATTAGACAAAAGCCCAATAGTGAGAATAGAATTCCCCATATAAATTTGCCCTCTCCGAACGTCGCCGGGAAAAAACCAGTGGCCTACAAGTTGGGTCCATTTTCTAGTGGGCCGACGAAGATAGAGAAAGCAAGGTCGGTTTCCAGGGCCTCTGCATGGGCTTTGTCTCCTGGTAGATCGCCAGAAAGTTGGAATTCTAGGCGGTCAAAGTCGTGTTCTGGCGGGAGAAACGCTAATTCGGGTGAGTCGAAGGGAAAACCGGGTCGGATTGCCCGAGTTTTGAGTCTTTTCCGGCCGAAAAAGGGAGGGTTAGTAAGAGATGGGGATATGCATACGCTAACGTGCATGCACACCAGGTTGCTTCAATGGAGATATGTGAATGCAAGAGCTGAGGCTTCCATGAAAAAAAGAAAGCACATCGCTGAGGCAAGTCAATAACTATTAATTTGAAATTTTCATGCTTCTTTTTCTTAAAAATGGAATCCAGTGCGCCAAAACTCGCCTCGGCTAGGGGACTCGTGCCCAAGCGGAGACGAGTTACTCGGCTGAGGCCAGCACAGGACCATTTGGCCTTAAAAAATTTTAGAAAAAGAAAATTTTGAAAAATAAAAAATTTGTAATAACAAAAAATTGAAACATGAAACAACTTTAAAAATTTAAGACAAGCTTTAAAAATGCAGAGAAGAAGTGGATTTAGAAAATACATTTTAAAAAATTTAGAAAAATAAAAATAATGATTATGGCAAAAATGCTCAATTATCTCTGCCAAATACATCTAAATCACATACAAAAAGATCACAAAACAATTCAACATTTAAAAAAAAATTAGAAATTTTTTTAGAACTTTTTTATATCCCCGAGTTGTACACCCAACTCAATAAAACTGAGCCTTGCCCTACTTGGCCGAGTCCAAGCAGACTCGGGTAAGTCACAGCACACAACTTGAAACGTAAATATTACATCCTTTAAAACTTGGATTTTTTTTTTCTCTTTTGGAAATTTTGTTGTTGTTTGAAGACATGAGATATCATAGTATAATCTAAGAAGAATGAACAAACTATAATCAATGGGATCATTGGGTTCATCCAAATGATGGACCCGAGATTGAAGTCACATACTGTAATGTTGGTAATGTTGGCGGGTCCCCCTCACTCCATCTAGCATTTTATTTGATGGTGATCATTGAGATTATAATTAATAGTATTCTGATTTCTAGCCCAAATAGTTGGGATGAGGTTCGGGTGATGATGACTATGATTTCTAATATCTATTTATGTTAGGGGTGGCAACGGCTCGGGGTCGGGTCCGAACTCGATTGAACTCGACCTCTATATATATATATATATATATATATATATATATATATATATATAGAGATATATAACGAACACTAGTAGAGAAAGAACAGTAT